GGAACTGGGACAAGCGATGGGAGCTCATTCCATCACGTGGATTCAATCTTACGACTGCTGGTCTTCTGACCGTGCAGCATAGAGGCTTCTGCGATTTAACCCGCAGCGCCACCACATCCTATTTATATCAAAATGTTGTACAATTTAAAATTATGGACATATATGAAATATAGGCCATATTAAAAACAAATTAAAATGTTAGACTATTTTTGACCAGAAGTGGGCTACTTTGAGGTAAACTGTTGTCTGTATTTTTTTTAGCAAAAATTATTTTTAACTTTCATTTGAATTCTATCCTACTTTACCATTTACAGGACTATTGCATTACAATTTGGTATTACTTTTAATAATTTTTCCAGCTCCTTGAGTCCCAATTCTGGGAAAAATACAGCATTTAGATATAAACAAATACATGTTTTTCAAATAACACTGCAGTAGTAGACAGGCCCTATGTTGTTGTGAGCTGTGTGGAACCCTTGATTTAAGTTTTAAAAAAAACAAAAAAAACTAAACTAAAGCAGCGACACAGCTTGACAATCTTGTGTGCCTTGATAAGTAGGAACAGTCCTGCTATACCTGCTGTAACAAATAAAATACTATTAACTGTATACACAAAAGTAATGATAATTTCCAGTTGTTACATTCAAGCTTCCCTGTAAGCTGGGGGGTCACGTGCACCCCTGCCTCCTTCCACGCAGCTGTCTCCCCCCCCCATGCAGCGATCGTGTTAGGTTCCAGTTGCGAGGGAAGCCTGCATGGGGGGACGTCACATGAGAGAGAGAGGTGGAGCCCCACTCAGCGGAGCTGAAAGTTAGAGGGTACATTGACATTATTTAGCAATAGGAACACCATAACCTCCTCTTTACTGCATCCTCAATTAACTAATTACACATAATGTTAAGTTTACTTCCAAGACATTGAGATGAGTGAGAAATGAGTTTTAGTTCATTTTTGGGAAGAATTTTCCAAAATTACTTTTAAAAATCATATTTGGGGTGAAAAGAGTTTGTGTATTTAAAATGAAAAATTGAACGTGGGGAAAACCCACAGTGACAGATAGCTCAACCATGTTAGTGCTAAATAAAGGCTGCCACGGTTATGTGATAACCTTACAGTTCAAGGCCTCTGGAAAATGTTTGGAAACTTCAAAGGGTCCAAAATACCGCAACCAGATTGTTAACTGGGGCTGGTTACAATGAACATGCAACACCCCTATTTCAATAGCTGCTTGCTACACAATTCAAAGTGCTGGTTTCAACCTAATAAAGCCCTAATCGGCTTTGGACAAGTTATCTAGAAGACCACATCTCTCTCTATAAGTCTGTGTGGGCAATAAGAACATCAAGGGAGGCCTTTCTCTCTGGCCTACCACCCTCACAAGTCCATTTGGTGGGGCCTCCTCTGTTGCTGCTCCCAGAATCTGGAGCTCCTTCCCACAGAAAGCAAGGCCGGCTCCACCTTTGCTGTCCTTCCGCAAGCAGGCAAAGACCATTCTCTTCAGACAAGCTTTTTCTTAGTGACCGGCAGTTTGAGAAGAGTTTTGCACTCTGTTGCTTTTAAAGGTCTTTTTAGTATTAATTTTATTTGCTATTTTTAATATGATACTCGTTTAATTTTTTTTTAAAAAATATTTGTACGCTTACTGTGTTTAGCTTTGTATATTGCCTTTTTATTTATGTGAGCCACCTTGAGCCCTTTTGAGAAGAAAGGTAGGGTAAAATATTTTAAACAAATAAATAATAAATAAATAACTCAGTATAATAGAACCCTCTTCTTGATAAGAATCACTGTACCTATTGAATGTTGTCAGTGAAAATAGGTGAAAATTTCATTTCGTTATTTCTTTTTCTAAATTGTGGTTGTCTCTAAAATTCAACAGAATGACTTTGAGAATTTAAAATCTGAATGTGGCAGAAAGCGGAACTGACAGATTCCTCCATGCCTAACGAGGATGGTTTCCCTGTGCAAGGCTTGCCCTTACAGTTCCACTTTTGCCAGGAACCTATAATCAAGAGGAGCATTGGAGGCCATCAATGCCATGCTAGAACTTTTAACAGAGTAACCAGTTGGTGTCTGGAAAGTAGGACTCTGCTGACGTCACTGAATATTCTTTAAGTTTATTGCCTCATTCAAAGTAGACAGATTTGAATGTGCAGAAGAATCTCTGTTTTCTCTTATTTAACAAAGATATGCAAGCAGATATGTGAATGTAATAGTTTCAATCTATTGACTATCCAAAAGTAGAAACTATAAAAACTTACGTTTCCAAATCGTTACTGCAAAAACCTAATAAAGTGTTTCAAAATGAAGCAATAAGCACCTAACGTATTACAAGAGTATAGTAACAAAGTTTTAAAATCTCTCAATTCAGTCACACTTATATTAGTATCTGAATTGTCAAAGCATAAGCAATTAGATAATAGTATCAAGCATATTACTATATTGTTATATTAAAAAATTTTACCCCCCTCCCTGAAGCAGAGTTTCCTCTTCTCTATAGGTACTCTTCTCTCATCCTTTGCTCCTTGTCTGTCTTTTTGACTGGTTTTCATACCATTTTGAGCTGTTTATTTACCTCTCCAATGGCCAACAATTGAGGCCTGGTGGTGAAGCAAATGGCAAACTTATAAAACACATCTCTAAACATTTCTATGAGAATTTGCATTACTTTTGTCAACTCAGCAATTTGTGATCCTCACAGAGGATTGCAAAGTTGGCAAACTGCCATCACAGCAAAACATTGTTTGTGTCACAACTAGATCCCTTGAACATCTGTGAATCTACCAAAATGCCAGGAGACTAAACTGCTGATCTAGAAGTTTACTAATCTTGGAATTTGCTAGGTAAAGAGAGTTCCATCTAGTGGATAGATTAACACATTGGTCGACATTTGTAACATTTCACATACTATAGGCTAATCAACATACATTTCAGTGCTCTTACACACAGTATTTGCAATCTTGACAACAGCATGGAGCCCATAGACAACCTGCACTCTTGAGACGTGATTCACATGCATTTTTTTTTATTTATAAAACTTATAGCCCTCTTTTATTATCCCCAAAATATGACTCAAGGAGACTCAAATTTAGACTGACTTGAAAAAATGCACTTTAAACCCAAAATAAATTCAAACATCAAAGTGCAATTAAATTTAAAATGTAATTTGGAACTCATCTGTGAATATAATGCAGTACATTATGCATTATAATGCATACATCAAAAACTCCCTTATGTAGCAATCTGTTTTCAAAATGCTGTTTCCTTTAAAACTGTACATTTCAGAAATGTGCATGGAGAACTGTGTACATTTGAAAAAATAAGATAAACACAGAATAGTAGAATTCCAAAATGGTAGAGCTGAGACAGATCCTAAGAGTCCTTTAGTATCCTGATACAAGAAATTCACAGCTAAAACATCCCCAAGAAAGCCATCCAACTTTTGTTCAAATACCAAAGCACAGCCCATTTTCTGAAACAGGCTCTTTCCCCTACTTTATCAACAGCTTGGTCATTGGGAGAATGTGCACAAAATGCATCGATTTGATAAATGTGCACAAAATAGTGTCTGTTTTGAAAAAAATGTGCATATAAAGATATTCAAATTTCCACTAAAGACATTTGATACAACCCTGGTCTGATGACATGGCTATGTTTTGCAGATTCACACATCTCTAATACTAGTCACAAGAATATGGGACATTCAGAAGTACGGAGAGGAATAAGGAGAGTTTGTGCCTTTGGGCCTGTGAATTTGGAGGATAAGAAACAGTTTCCTGTCCATCCAAAGCAAAAGCATGGGAGACAAGGCCGCTATTCCTTAAAAATAAATATTTACCTGCAAAAAGAAAGATAAAGGCTGCAAATTGGGAAATGGGGATCGTGTGCCTCCTTGATTACGCTAGAGAATTCTGGGCATACAAAAAAAGTAACTTTTCCAAGCATTAAGCTTGTCAGAGGTAAATGGCACTTTATGACCCAAACTTTCTTGTTATATGTGATTCTTATGAGTTTCCTCTGGGCTATTTACAGCACAATTTTGTCAATGTTTGTAGTGTAACGGGACATTTTAAATCCTGTGAGTATACTGAAGACTGCAGTTTTATGAAAGTTATGTTCCCCAGTCAAATATGTGAAGAAGAGTGTGTTACCAAAAGTTTTAGGAAGTTTTACTCCCTCTGGAAATCCAGTTCAGAATTTCTTTGTGACTTTGGCAGGAACTAGAAAGAACTTCAGTTTAGGGTAAGAGAAGCAGGATTTCCATTTTTTAAAAAAACCTTCACTCTTTCCATAGTGTTTGTTTCTGCGTTAGAGTCATCTTACCAAACTCCCAGCTTAAAAAACATTAGTGTAACACACATAAAATCCCAAGCAAATAACTGCTTGGAGAAGAGGCACAATTTTAAAAACCTCCTGGACTCACTTCTAATTTTTTTCTTCCCTTCCTTTATACCTAAAGCCAGTTTCTTTTTTTTCAAGGAAACAAAGGCACAATTTGATTGCCTAATCTCACTTGATGACACTAGAAAAGTCTAACAGAAATGTATGTCATCGCTTTGTACAAGAAACAGTGCAATGATTAAGGCTTGAAGAGAAGAGGAAAAATCCCCTTTGCTTACGAAGAACGGCTTTTCCTTTCCTGTTCTGTGAATGCACACACATGCAGATAAGCCGGTCAGAGAGCGTCCCTCCTCCTACACCCCTTTCTAGAGGAAGTTTGTTGATATATTACTGACACCGCTTCTTCAAAGCCAACAAGAAGAAAAAGAAAGCGACACGGGGGGGGAGTATCCACCTCACCAAACCGCAAAGAGCCATTCCAAGGCGAGACGTGCATTGATTTTGTTCTACTGGAGAGTGGAACAAGCAGCTTGCAGGACACATGATGAAAGAGCACTCCAGTACCTACAGCAGCGTTGGTCCAAGCCGCGGCAGCGATTCCACCATGGAAAACCTGCAGTCGCTCAAGCCTAACTACATGTCTATGTGTTTGTTTGCAGAGGAATCCTATCAAAAATTAGCCATGGAAACTTTGGAGGAATTGGACTGGTGTTTAGACCAACTTGAAACCATTCAGACTTACCGGTCTGTTAGTGAGATGGCATCAAATAAGGTAAGCAAAACAGAATTTTTAAAGGAACAAATAAAACTTTTCTTAAAAAATTAATCAAGATGGAAAAGTGGAAGAGTACGTAATTACTTTTAGAGATTTTAATATGCACTCATTTCTACTAGCAGACCTACTGGTTTATTGAAAATAAAATCTGTGCCTAAATTACTGAACTACTGATGGATTCTTTCTTCCATTGTAACCAGTACTACCCCATCCCTCTGTCTAGTACTGTACTGTTCTTACTACACTGTTGCAAAAAAAATAATCCCTAAAGCAAGGTAGATAAGTGCTGTCCATGCTTGTAAGTCAATCACAGGAGAAGGCAGTTGTACTAAGAATTAAAGTTTGCTGTTAGGTATTGTGGAATTAGCAGAATTTTGGTACCTGTATCATTTTTAATTTAGCCAGCAGAGTATTGTTTACATTCTGAAAATAGTTCTAGATACATTAGATAGAAAGAAGGAGCAGTGAAATGAAAGCAAGCCTCATATCAAGTAACACATAATTTCAATCAATATCATTAAATAAAAAAGAAATGATGAAAGCCAGAAACTTGGAAATAAATTAGGATTATAATTGTGAATTTCCTCTCCGGGAGCATATAACAATTTCAGGAAACGTTGTTTTCAGTAAATTATATTACTTGTGATGCTGGTTGTTAGAAACTATAACTTAGCATTTATGCTAGGCCCTGGTTTTAGTTCCTATGATTAAATTGATGGGAGATACGCTTTTGGTTTTGGTAAAGAATACAAATTATTTGCCAAAGAAGATCAGTTCTTATTAAATCTGTTCAGTGTAAGAAATAGTTGTGAATTTTACTCTAAAGAAATATGCATTTCCTGTTTTCTCAGGATTTACCAATAAACCTTCCTTCCTAGATTTCAAAAGCAAAGGCTGTATTTGTCTTCACATCAGGCACACCTTAACTGGCTACTGGCCTGAATGCTGATTGACTGGCACAAAAGGCACACCTTTCCCCTGAGGCTACAGGCACCGCCTCCCCAGTACTCCCAGACACTGGTCTATGGGACATGTGGCTCACAGCTCACCTGTGTCTGAGGAAGCCAGTGAATTCTTCTGAAGTGTCAAAGCAGGAGGCTTCAAAGCAGTTGAGCTACAACATATGACTTTCTCCCTCTGAATGTGGCACTAATCTGATATGCTGTGCGGACCTTAAAATGTGCTCCCATTTACATCTGCACAGGCAGTAGTTTTTACATAATGTCCTCAATGTTTCTTCCTACGGTAGCTCTTTTTTGTAGCCCATTTTCTATTATTGTTTGGTAGGAATTTTAGTGGTAACTTTTCTTTATCCTTTTTAACATAGTTACATCTGATGTCTTAGCATATATAGAACTTCCTGGCCTATAAACCTAGCTTAGCCTTTGATGTGTGATCATATTGTACTTAATTCCTCATTGCTAATTTAGGCATTAATAACCAACACATCAGCATTATTGTAAAGAATAATGAAATGAGAATTGTACAAATTTTCACACAGTAAAAGGACTGTATGAAATATTTTAAAAATCGGGGGATATTTTTTAAAAAAAGCTTACATTGGGTAGTTTCCCCTAAAGGTTCCCTCTTCAGTCTTTAACATACTAAAACAAAAATACAGAGGACATTAAAAGTACAGACTAAGGCCTCAGATAAAGGTCTGTCATGCCCCTCTCATTTTTAGCTATAGTTTGCCATGTATTATCCCAGACTATCCTCAAGGTTTTAAGGATTTGGGTTACTGGAAGTGACTCATGCGGCTGACACAGCTGAAAGTAAAAAGTAAATTAAGCTTTTCTAAGACTCCTCAGAAACCTCTTAAAATATGTCCATCAATTAAGTTATTGTCAGATTTTCCACATCTGAGAAGTATCTGAATAATCTGCCTTCCTTCCATCAAAGACTTTTCTGCACAGCAATTTTGGAATAGCCAAACAGTCTGATGTCTTGAAAACAGGATGTTTTTAGGTCCCCATTAGTAAAGAAGAACGGAAAGAGAAACAGTAAAAAAAAAAAGAGGAAGAAAGCAAATAGACCCAGCATGATCCCAAGTGCAAGAGCTGAATAAACAGTGACCTATCTTCCTGACCTCTGCTATTGCTAAGTTCCTGGCACTATGCCACTGAAGCCCAAACTACGTCATTTGAGAATGATAGTGGGCATGGCACAGCTGTTGTAAGTGTGACTCGAATTTCCTGTCTCCTTCCTGACAGACGTAGTTTTGAAAGTACAGCATTGCAAAAACAGTAGACAAAGAGAGGAGGACTCATTTTGAGTGCCTTTATTTAAAAAAGGTGACCAAAAGATGTTTCTTCATTGTTTGACGATGGACAAAGGAACTTTGCATGAAAGAATTTGATTTGTAAAAGAGTTCCAGTAAATAAGAGGCAAATGCTTCTCAAGTGAAATAATTATACAGGAATACATATATGGACAGGTCTGAAATTCAGATGGAAAAACTTAGCAATCAGAACTTAGAGGGCTCCTAAAAGAGCAAACATTCCAAAGCAGCAGGAGTTTTATACACTGTGGTTTGGCAAGTGTTAGTTTCATTAAAATCTCACACAATTTTTTCAGCTACAAAATACAAAGCAACACAGTCACTGTTGCTACTAAGAGTTAATTCATGATGTATATCTTGTACAGCTTTCCGTGCTAGCTGAGTTTCAGTTTGTTTTTTTATTATTATTTTTTGTACTTCTGTTCATATAGTAGTCCCCTGTATCTGCAGGTGATCCATTCCAGGATCAACTATGGATACCTGAAACCTCAGAAACAAGGGAACCTATAAAAGAGAACAAGAACAAGTGGGAAGGACAAGAGGACGAGGAAGTGTCTGTGGGCACTGCAAACTGGGTTGCAGCAGTAGGAGAAACTACAGATAACTAAAACTGCTGATACCAAATCTGTAGTTATGGAAGAAGCACTGTATTTGGATTCTTAGAATCCCATCAACAATTGTGTTTGAACGTTATTTGGTGGGACATAAGACTGACATTAGGCACATTAGGAAAGATCCTTCATTTTCCTAGAAATAACATTTCAGACCTCTGTTGACCTATTTCCTAAAGTAGCAAGAGGACTCTCAAAAACTAGATGGATGCTTCCTGTATTTCCTTATTATGAAAGACTGGGGCATTGATATAGTTGCAGCACAGGCAGAGAGATCTCAGTAAATTGTCAAGACTTTCAGCAGAATGTAAAAGTCTGCTTCTGGCATATTCAATATGGAAGTACAAAAGCAGTGTATTTTAAATGCATTATTTATGGCTCCAAATTCTTATACACCTAAATCCAATTGCTAGTCTCAACTACAGTAAACTCATCAGACAAAATCATGTTGTGTAGCTACACCTACATAACTTGAAGTTGTGCAAGCCTTTGCAAAATTTGCATCAAGACAGATACAGTATATTCAGGAAGCAATTCTGAGGTGTGGCTAATGGCACAATTGGACATGTGGATTACCCCCAGATGAAGTTACGTCAATGTGATTTTATGCCATACCAAGTGCTATAGGATTTCAGCATTGAACCGACTGCTGACTGGTAAGCCAACACCTATGGAAATATCTTTGATTCCATGGTTCTTTTCCAGGCAGGACTAGTAATTGAATTTAGGCTAAAATAATTTCATTGAATATTTAAAAATTGATACAGATATACCAACAAAAGTCAAGCAGGGATCTTTTCAGAGAACGAGCAATATGAGCACATACTATATCTCATACATTGGTCTGTTTTATTGCTGCAATAGTCAGTGTGTAGAGCCAATGCTCCTGAGACGTAATAATGCTAATAAAGTCAGTCATTATTATTACTTTTGCCTTGAAACACTGTGAGAGAAAGATCAATAACGTAAAGCATACTTCTAATGATACCAACAACTTGCCCAGCATATTCATTCATTTTCCATTATTAAAAGAGAATTCTGATGTTGTAAAATCTAATTCTTTGCAGAATATACTCTAAAGAATAATGAAAATGTGTTCCTATCAGTAAAAAAAACCCTCTGCTACTAAATATTTTTTGCATTTACATTTTCTCTCTCCCCTTCTCCCAGTGTGGGTGTATCTTCCACAAAGCCTTAAGTTACACAGAGCAACTGGGGCTTTGCCCACGGTGCAATGATATAGCGGACACCAAGTTTAGATGCCTGGATAGTGTCAGAAAAATGAATTGAAATACTTTCCTCTGCTAAGCACCTTCAGGGATGCTTTCCACTCCTTGAGGCAGAAAGCCTCATACAGTTGCTCCACCATATGATTGTTCCACCTTGGTGTTTCACACCTACACACAGGTACCTGAAAAAAGGGAGAAAGTTTGTGTTTTCAAGGAAAGAAAAGAGCCTATCATGTCCATCTTATCCCTTCCAGACAATGATAAGGACTGGCATAGGTATGTTGTACATACCCTGCATCACATACCCTACAAAGAGTGGTGGCGGCAGCATTGTGGGTCAGCCTTTTCCTCTCTGCCTCCCCCCAAAAGAGGAGGAATCTAGGGATGCAGGGTTTTGGAAGTGGTGCTCCTTGTCCTGGTGCCACATGGTCTTGTTATGGCTCTGATATGCCAGTTGAGGCTACAGTTAATGCATCTGATGAGCTGAACTGCATTCTCAAAAACCTGCCCTAAGTAAAAGTTGTTGTCAGGAATCTTACTGGTATTTCCATAAGGTTTGCAGAAGTTGTTGCAGCTAATTGTTGGTAATTAAAAATTTGTACTCACGAAGGCTTTCATGGCCGGAATCCAATGGTTGTTGGGGGTTTTTCAGGCTCTTTGGCCGTGTTCTGAAGGTTGTTCAACATCTCAACTACTCAGTTGGGCATATGACCAGGCATAACCGGGCACCTCAACAATTAGCTACAGCTCATTATGCTGAAGGTGCTTAGAGAGCTCCTGTGACCAGAAACCCTCATGAGATGGGGCACCAAATTACAAGAGATCTGGAAATAAATTCAGCTCACTATATTTACAGTGGTCTTTTCAGATATTTGC